TCACCAATAAACATTGGCGACGGATTATATGTCTGTCGCCAATGAGCATTGGCGACGAACATAATCCGTCGCTAATGTTTATTGGCGACGGGAAGCCCCCCGTCGCCAATAAGCATTGGCGACGGATATAATCCGTCGCCAATGCTTATTGGCGACGGGGTCTTCCCGTCACCAATAAACATTGGTGACAGCTAGTTTGCCGTCGCCAATGCATTTTGGTGACAGCGGAGGACCCGTCACCATTGTTATCCGTCGTCAATACTTCTCCGTCGCTAATACTTCTCCGTCGCTAATGAGCATTAGTGACGGATATCCCCTTCGCCAATGTGCATTGGTGAGGGGATTATTGATGATGGACTATCGGGCGTCGCGAATGTGCATTCGTGATGGATGTGACTGCATTGGTGACGAATTTCCCCGTCGCCAATGCTCTGATTTCTACTAGTGGCAACAAGCTTGACTTTTATTATTCTTATTGTATTTATAGTTTTTTATCATTAATTATATGCGTTCATTGTTGATACCACAAATACTTAACAGGTTCAGCTAGAAAGTTAACAAACACCGTCAAAAGTTAACATTGTTCGAACGAAAGTTAATATGAAAAGCAAAAAAATTTAACATGTTTAGCCAAAATTAACAGTCAATGCCAAAAGTTAACACGTTCAAATGGAAGTTAAAATGTACAGACTTAAATAGTTAACGGTAAATGTAAACAGCTTACATATAAAATCATTGTACTTACATTCTTACATCTAATATTACTTGAATACACAATTTGAATAGTATTCTACAGTGAAAAATACTTCAGTAGGAATAATAATACTATTCAAATTTTGTATTCAAGTAATATCAGTTGTAAGAATGTAAAACTAATCGTTTTGAAGTACAATGATTTTATATGTAAGCTATTTACATTTACTATTAACTATTTAAGTCCCTTGTTAGCTTTGAGCTAAACGTGTTAACTTGTGGCGTTCCCTGTTAATTTTCATTTGTACATGTTAACTTTTTATGTTTCCTGTTAGTTTTTGGCTGAACATGTTAACTTTTGGTACTGATTATTAACTTTAAGATGATGAATTTTTTTCTTAACAATTGTTCCTCGTAATGGTTAACTATTTAAGTATGTTGTTAACTTTCGGTGTTTCCTGCTAATTTTCAGCCGAACAAGTTAACTTTTGGCATTGCTTATTAACTTTCAAATGATAGAATTTTTCTCAATAATTGTTCCTGGCAATGGTGAGAATGTAGTGAGACCAGAAGATATTCTCAACAACATTTCCATCATTTCTCAATGGTGTTACACATTATTAACTGAAAGGGGTGTAGACGGTAAAAAATACCTCTATGGGTCTACAGGAAATTTGCCTACGAGAAGAGCTCGCACGCC